GGACATGACTTTGCAACTAACAAAAAGAAATTTCAAATCTTTGATTAAAATGCAAATAGTTCAGGCTCTTTTATCCCAACAGATATGCAAATCGAGAGACAAATTCCCCTTTAAAGGAGACCAATGGTTTCCCACTTCAGACAACTCCCACCAACATAAACCTTGTGCTTCCTCCAGAATCCTCTCCTATCAATTTTACCGATTCATTACAGGGAGCAAAAATGTGGTTAAACCTTCTGTCCATACTTGTAGTCCTCAAAGGTCATTATTGCCACTATATAGTTCGCTTCAATTTTGTGCTCTTGCATGCAATAGATCTATTTAAAAGCTCCTTTCTTTTTAGGAGTCCAGTCTCAAGTGCAGTTGGTGGAGTCTGGAGGAGATGTGAGAAGACCTGGGGAGTCCCTCCATCTCTCCTGCCACGCCTCTGGATTCACCTTCAGCAGCTATAACATGCACTGGGCGAGACAGCCTCCTGGGAAAGGACTGGAATGGGTGTCATGGATAACCTATCATTCTGGCACAATTACTTACTCTGACAAAATGAAGGGACGCTTCACAGTCTCCAGGGACAATTTCGAAAGCCAGCTGTATCTGCAAATGAACAGCCTCAAAACCGAAGACACAGGAGTCTATTACTGTGCAAGAGGCACAGTGAGAGGAAGTGAATCTGAAGCCAAACAAAAACCTTCTTTCATTCACTCTTGAAATTTATGGAGCCCAAGGTCCTAGATTACTCAATGGTAGTAATCCATTTACTCTCCAGAGGGCAGAGAAGAGGAATAAGATGATTGACATCTGGAGGCTGTACAAAAAACGTACAAAAAAACTGTTGCAGGACTTCTGTATGGTTATCTAATGAAAAAAAGGAAAAGAGGCTGTGGTTAAATTCAAAATGTGTACTACTGGTTTTGTGGGCTTGGAGTGTTGGGCATGACAGGGGAAGGATACTTCAAAATCTCCCTTCCCTTCCCACTCCAGTGGAAAGGATACTGTAGAATCTCCATTTCTTCCCCACTCCAGGGGAAGGATACTCCAAAATACCCATTTTCATCCCACTCCAGCAGAAAGGATACTGTAAAATCTCCATTTCTTCCCAACTCCAGGGGAAGGATTCTACAAAATTTCCATTGCCACCCCACTCTTGGGAAGGATACTGCAAAATCTCCATTCCTTCTCCAGTCCATGGGAAGGATACTCCAAAATATCCATTCCCACCCAACTCCAGGGAAAGGATATTGCAAAATCCCCATCGCCCCCCCCCCCTCTGTGGCCAAATCGAGGTGGTGTTTGCTGGTTCTCCGAACTATTCAAAATTTCCCCTACTCCTTCTCCAAAACCTGTCAGAACCTGCTGAATTTCACACCTGACTAGGGGTGACCTTTTTTGCATAAAATCTACATCATATGAATTGGGATCCTGTAAATAGGTTCACTGAGCTAATCTTGGAAACAAGCTTGTGAATTCTTTATTTAGATTTAGGAAGTTTTAGAAAGCTTCCCCTCATCACTTTGGACACAATGGGGGATGGCAATGTGTCACATGAAATCCCATTGCCTATACACCCTTGGGGGGGGGAGAGTGGGGAGATAGGTAATACTTCAATTATCAATGGCTCTTTCTCCACTTAACTTACAGGGAAGAGAAATGGACTGGAATGTTAATTACGAAATGGACATGCAAGTTAGGTTAATTGAATTGTGCTAGGCAATGCCCTAAGGCAGGGGTGTCAAACTTGATTTCATTGGGGGCCACATAAGGATTTTGTTTGATCTC